TATTAGGAAGTTCTTGACTACTGAGCGACATCTCCAGCCCAATCTTTACTTTTTTTTTTGTAGACCAGGCTGGTCTCGAACTCACAGAGACCCGCCTGCCTCTGCCTCCTGAGTGCTGGGAGTGAAGGAGTGCGCACCCACAGCCTGGCTCCAACCTTTACTTTTTGTTTTGAGATAGGGAGTCACTAACTTACCCATGCTGGCTTTGACCTCACTCAGTAACCCAGGCAGACTTTGAACTTGAAATCTTCCACCCTAACTCCTACAAAGTTTGGTATGCCACACCCACACCTGGCTTTTTTTTTTTTTTTTTTTTTTTTGAGACAGAGTATTACATAGCCCAGGCTGACTTTGAACTCACTGTGTAGCAGAGGCTGGCCATGAATTTTCTGGTCCTCGAGCCTCTGAGCCTCTACTTCCCAATGATGGGTTCACATTTGTGCAACACCAGCCACTCTGGTTCTTAGCTGACTTCTTTTTCATGGAGGTTTAACTCACTGTAAAGGATCCCAAGTTAAACTGTCCAATCCCCGTAGTCTGCTCGTAGGAAGTGAGCAGGTAGATTCCCTGTATGCTCAGAGATGGAGCTGGGACTGGGATTTGGGGGTCACAGACCCCATTTATTCCTCTTCCTAGAGTTCAGCCAGTATGGAAGGTGAGGCCAAAGCCCTGATTCCACAGACACTGTCTTTTAAACACAGATGGCTGCTTTCAATGCAAATCACATGGAGGGGGCGCACCAACCCGGCCCAAGGGGTAATGGGCTCCGGAATCGTTTCAGCTGCCCTCAGCACCAGGAAGACAGAGATGCTATGCAAGCGCCTGTGTACAAGGCAAGGCCCCCCTTGGCTGCAGTGGGTGGGCGCTGATGGGATCTTCACCTTGACCTGCAGCTGCTACGGGCTGGGAGGAAAGGGCTAGAAGCACACTCGGTGGGAGATAGCGGCAGAAAAGGCACAGCGGTGTGCTCACCGAGAGAAAAGCTGTGGTTCTTCTCAGAAGATGATGAGATAAAAGCCCTCTGAGGCAACAGGTGAAGCTTGCCCTATGAGGAAGCTTTCTCCATCCTCCCTACAGCTGCCTCTCCCTGGCCCCCAGGAGAGAATGTTCTGTCAGCCTCTGTCAGTCACTGATGGAGCAAGGAAGAGGAAGTTGGGTTTTCGTTTATTTATTTTGTTTGCTCACTTGCTTGCTTGCTTATTGCAACAAGCGCTCACTCTGTGGTCAGGCTAGTCTGGAGCTCATCGTGTTCATAATGATGTCACAGTTTTGACAACCTTCCTGCCATAGCCTTGCTAGTTGACATTAGAGGCACAGGCTGTCTGATTTGGGTTTTTTTCCTTTCTTTCTCCTTCCTTTCATTCTTATTTTCCTTTTCTTTTTCTTTATTATCATTATTATTTTGTAGAGTGAACAGAGTCTCACTGTGAAGTACTGGCCTGGAACAGGTCTTGAGGCAATCCTCCTGCCTCTGCCTCCTAAGTACCAAGAGTGCTCTGCCATGCTCGGCTTCTGACCTGAACTGATAGCCTCATGCATGCCAGGCAAACACTATACCATGGAGGATCATTAGAAAAAAGAAAAAAGCTAGCTGAACAGTGGGAGTGCACGCCTTTATTCCCAGCACTGGGGAGGCTGAGGCTGGTGGATCAGGTGGATCGCTATAAGTTCAAGGCCAGCCTGGTCTACAGAGTGAGTTCCAGGACAGTCAGGGCTACACAGAGGAACCCTGTCTCAAAAACAAACTGACAAAAATAACAACAGCAAAAATCTTTAAGCATGGTGATGGGTGCCTAGAGTTTTGTCTGCTTCAGAGTCTGAGGTGGAACCATCATTTGAGCCCAGAAGTTGAAGGCCAGTCTGGACAACATAGTGAGACCCTGCTTCAGACAGTTTTGTGTGTGTGTGTGTGTTACTGAAGATTTCAACCTGGGCCAGGCAAATACTCTACCACAGAGTTAGCTATGTTCCCAGCTCTCTCATTTTAAAGTTTATTTTACTTTAAATTCCATATGCATGTGCGTGTCTGTGTGGGGGATGTGCACTTGTGCGTTCAGGTGCCCTAAGAATTCAGAAGGAGGAGCTGGATCCCACGGAGCTGGAGTCACAGGCAGCTGCTGAGAACGGAACCAGATCCTCTGCAAGCACAGGAAGTACTCCTTTTTTAGTTTTCTGAGACAGGGTTTCCTCTATATAACTGTCCTGGCTGTCCTGGAACTCGCTCTGCAGACCAGGCTGGCCTCGAACTCACAGAGATCCACCTGCCTCTGCCTCCCAAGTGCCGAGATTAAAGGCTTGCGTCATGCACACCCGGTTACAGAAAGTACTCTCAACTGCGAAGCCATCTGCCTGGTCCCTGGAGGACAACTGCACAGGGTGAGTTCTAGCTTTCCACCCTCAGTCCCAGGGATTAAACTTGTGTTGACAAGTTGCTCACAAGGCAGGTCTTTTTACTTGCTGAGAAATCCCACCAGTACAAAACAACTCTTTAAAGAAGGGTGACGTAACTCAGTAGTCAAGGGACTGGATTGGACCCCAGAGAAGTCAGCCAGATGGCTCAGTGGGTCAAGGTACTTTGGCTAAGCCTGCTGACCTGAGTCCCATGCCTAGGTCCCACATGGCAGGAGAAGACCAACTCCTACAGGTTATCATCTGACCTCACAGGCGTGCCTCAGCACTCACAGTTTCCTCACACACGAAATAAATGACTACAAACAGAATAATTAAAAACAGAAAACCAGTAAGCCGGGCATGGAGGCACATGCCTCTAATCTCAGCACTGTGGAGGCAGAGGCAGGTGGATCTCTTTGAGTTCGAGGTCAGCCTGATCTACAGAGTGAGTTCCAGGACAGCTAGGACTGTTATATAGAGAAACCCTATCTTAAAAACAAATAAGCAAACAAAAAAAGAAAGAAAGAAGAAAATAAAAAACGACAGTAATCATAACGAAACCTCCTGCACCCATTAGAACACCTAGACACCTTTCGTGGGTGTTTCACGGCTGTGCGGGCACACACCATGGAGGCGGTCTATGACTGGCTGCTTTCACTACAGAATGTTTCAGCCATCACCTGTGATATACCATATGTTTGGACATTTCTATTGCTGAGTAATAATAATAATAATAATAATAATAATAAAGTCAGTGTTTAGTTTATTCATCAATTTGGACGTTTGGGTTTTTCTGCTGTGTGGCTGGTCTGAATAGTGTGCAGGCTTTTGTGTGGACGGGTAGAGCTTTTCAGTTAATTATTAACAAACATTTATTAACGGCTTGCTGTGCACATAGCACGGGGTAAACGGGAAGCTGAAGGAAGAAATGTAGAAAGGCAGAGACCCCAAGGATCTATGAGTATAAAATCACTGGGGGCTGGAGAGATGGCTCAGCATCAGTGGTTAAGAGCACTAATTGCTCTTCCAGAGGACCCAGGTTCAATTTCCAGCATCCACATGGCAGCTCACAACTGTCTGTAACTCCAGTTCCAGGGGACCTGACACCTCTACGCACACACCAATGCACACAAAATAAAAATAAATTATTTTTAAAAAATGTGCCGGGCAGTGATGGTCTTTAATCCCAGCAGTCGGCAAGAAAAGGCAGGTGGATCTCTGTGAGTTTGAGGCTAGCCTGGTTTACAAGAGCTAGTTCCAGGACAACTAAGAAACCCTGTCTGATTAACAGAACAGAACAAAACAAACAAAATGTAGTCTATGTTCTGTGACTGGTTGGGGAGATCAGACTGTGGTTTTTTTTTTTTTTCGAGACAGGGTTTCTCTGTGGTTTTAGGGCCTGTCCTGGAACTAGCTCTTGTAGACCAGGCTGGTCTCGAACTCACAGAGATCCACCTGCCTCTGCCTCCTGAGTGCTGGGATTAAAGGCCTGCGCCACCATCGCCTGGCTGGAACTAGCTCTTTTTTTTTATTTATTTATTTATTTATTTATTTATTTATTTATTTATTATTTATTTAAGATTTCTGTCT